TGGGAAAAGAGAAGGGAAAAAGGGAGAAATTTGTATGCATGTATATACAGGATAGTTAACATAGTTGATCTACTGTCTTCTATTTCTTTGCAAAAGAAACTATTAATGAGTCCTTGATTGATCAATATTGCATGTCTCTATTTGTTTTCATAAGAAACCACTTTGAAGATATCAATATGTAATACAACAAGCATTGTTAGTTTCCTACCACTTGGTTTGTAACTCTGTATTGTCTGTACTGTTCTTTTGCTATTTTGTAAAATGTTGTCTGTCTGTTCATGTTTTCCTCCTTTTATTTTTAAAATAAAAAATAAATAAATAACTAATTTAGAAATAAATTTAAGATCAATGTTTAAGAATGCAAATTCAATTACCTGGAGAATCTATTCATCCAATGTCCCTTAACCTTAGCATGTCCTAAAACTATTTTCTCTCTCTTCTTCTCTCATTCAGGGAAGCAAGCAAAGCATACAGGACAATGAGGGTAAAGGTCAGTATCACTCTCTTTTTTTAAAGAAAACTTGCCCTTCTTTTCTTTCTTTCTATGGAGATGGGGATGGAACCCAGGGCCTCACACATGCTAGGCAAGTATTGTACCTACCACTGAGATACAGCCCCAGCCCAAGCAGCTAGTTTACAACAAGGGCTTTCTGTGGTGGACTACAGTACTTTTTCCCTCTAACCCAATTCCCAGTCTTGCAACATAATCAGACTGCACATGCAGTTTTTATATCAGGTGCACATGATAGATTACTCTTGGTTAATATTTGTGCTTATTATGACCAAATATTAAAGTACTACTAAATTTTTTTAGTCTAACAGGCAGAATTTCTGATAATACTTTTTATTTTTATTTTTTTATTTATTTTATTTTTTTTTTTGGTTTTTCTCCGGTACCAGGAACCAAACTCACGACCTTGCGCTTGCCAGGCAGGCTCTGATAATACTTTTTAAAATGTGAATTCTAGTTTTTAAAAATCCAAAATATTACGAGGCTTCTTGGTTTCCAGTTCATTTTCCTGAAACTTATACTAGATTTATAAGCCATTCTGGATGTGTAGAACTTATAAGAAATGTCCTTTTATCTGTCATCAACAGCTTTTGCAGTAGGACTAAAAGTAGGCCTTTTAGATTTTTCCAGTGTTCCAGAGTCTAATATTTGAAATTTTTTTGTGTGCTTGATTGTTTTGTTATCTGACCTATGCAGTTCTCTCAAGTTAAGAAAAAATATTCTATTGAAAAAATATGTTGTTTTGCTATTTTTCTGCCTGCCTTCTCTTTTACATTCCATAAAGTTTGGAATTCCAAGTACTGCAAATATCATGGTAGCTCGTTAATATCTCCAACAGGTGAAAACACAGATATAATGGGAGAGCAACAGTCAGCAGGCAGAAAGGGTCCCATCCCTGCTAACCCAGTGGAAGCTCAGCCTCCCATCCTGGTCACTGCTCATGAGGACGGACATCTTCGCTTGTGGACTCTGGAGGTGACGGAGCTTGGTATTTCCTGTGAATGGGACAGAGTGGAGAAGATACAGAGGATGGTTAAATGAATGCCTTCTTCTATATGGCATCCAGTTCTAATATTTTTCAACCTTCTACCCAAGCATGGTTTTGCAGCCTGCTCTCACTGATCGTGTACTACTCATACTTTACAACAGGCCAGCACTGTAACTCAACAGACTAAGCCATCAGAATGGCCACCTACTTTGAATTTTACTTGTAAGCTAAGCACACCACTGAGTATTGTATCGGGCATTTAAATAATGTTAAAGAATATCATCGATATAGTAAAAGAACATATTTAAATAATGTTAAAGAATATTATCTATATAGTAAAAAAATATTGAAATGTTGAGTGTACAAGAAAGTTTTAATGAGAAAACTATTGAAAGATAGTATTACCTCATTTTGGGTGTACTTAAACCTTTTACTATAGAAAAAAAAACCCTTTAATTTATCAGAAGATTTTAAATCATTTGAGGTGAAGGATGAGCAACCCAAATTAGGGGATGGGAAGGAAACCATGAAAGGAGGATCTTAAGCAAACTGGGGAGGAGGACAATGAAGTCCTTACAGAGGCAGGGGAGGTGACCCCCACCTGTGGAAAGGCTCCTTCCTATGGCAAAGGTGTTGTGTGACAGACAATGCAGTTCAACAGCACAGAATAGCATGGCTGTCTGCCAGGTCAGCTCCAAGACTATCCTTGGGCCCTCATTTTTTACTGAAACTCCTGGTTTGAAAATACAGAATATTTCTAAGATAATCTTGGTGTCAAAGCAATGCCTGTTTTTCCTTTGACAAATGAAAGAGCGAAAAAAAATAGGAGACACTATATCCAACTACAGCCTCAGGGAACATGTAGAAAATTCAGTAATTTTTCCCCCAAGCTAAATGCTTACTCTCCAAGCAAGATAATATGTGTGGAAAGTCTTTCCCAGGGCTGCCTTATATTGAGTACTCAAAAAAATCTTAATTTAAATCTTCGTACATTTCTTTATCTTGCACCAGTATCCAAAAACAGATGTTTCTGAAAAGGCAAATATTCCCGATGAAGATACACTTAAACCTGCAAAGAATGTGTGTTTTAAGAAGAGTACATAATTAGAAATACTGTCAGAAGAATTGCATGAAAAGAGTCATGGACAGCCTTGAGAGCAAGGCAATCTAATAATCGGAGTCTAGATGTTTATACTTAATAGTTGTCTATACCTTTGGGGTATTTAATGTCAAAGAAATAAGTCCCTATGGATAATTTCAAATTACTTTTATTACAAAGCAGAGAAACATGTTTTAGCAGTAAAGATAATTCTTTAGATATAATATACAGTATAGAGAGAAATTGAACTTCATTATTAAAATTTTATAAAATTTTTCATCATAGAAGAAGCCTTATTTGCACTGTCCTCTCTTCAGGGAAGACTACTGAAAGATATGCTACCTTTCACCAAACATTCTGCCATTTCTCTGACATCACTGTATACTGATTCATGTTCCAGGGTGCTACTGGCTGGAAATGTCGGTAAGTCATTACTCTTATACATTTGGCCAGGAGCATTTTGACCTACATGACATGAAAAATGGGCATAGGAAAACCACTTTTACTGGCATTGCTTTAGACAAAAGCCTAAAAGTTATACTTAAGCATGACAAACTTATTGATAGCTTGTTGAATAAATGGAAAAATAAATGAATGTCAGGAAAAATTATTTTATTCCTATTTAAAACAAGGTATTCTATTCTTTCATCTTTAAAATGGGTATATGGTTACCCATCACTTTATCTTAGTTTATTAGGAATGATATAAAGTTTTAATTTTTAACATTGAAAGGGTTATGTTGCATTAATCTTCATTCTGAAAAAGAGCAGTGACAGAGAGGAAAAAGATTACTTCTTCTCTTGGGAGGGTTATTTTATATTGGTTAGAATTAATATAGTTAGGTTTTAATTCTTCCATCTACTACAATTTTTTTATTCGTCCCATTTCTCTTCTTCTGTCTTGAATTAATCCTAAATTTTCTTTGTCTTCATCTCACCCAACTTTCAAAGACTATATATGTATGAATGCACGTGCATGTGTGGAACAGTTTTTAATTTTTCTGATGTTTTTTCAAAAAAATACAAATAGAATTACTATATGATCCAGGCATACCACTCCTTGGTGTATACCCTAAGGATTCAAAGTCAGCATACTAAAGAGATAGGTGCATACTCATGTTTATCTCAGCATTATTTACAATAGCCAAGTTATGCAACCAGTCTAGAGAACCAACACTGGATGAATGGATAAAGAAAATGTGATATATATATTATCCAACCATGAAGAAGAATGAAGCCAGGCATGGTGATGCATGCCTGTAATCCTAGCAAGTGGGAGTTGAGGCAGGAGGACTGTCACAAGTTCCTGGCCAGCCTGGGCTACACAGTGAGTTCAAGGCCAGCCTGAACTATATAGTGTGACCCTGTCTCAAACAAAATAAAAAGAAGAGGAGGAGGAAGAGGAAGAAGAAAAGAAAGAAGAGGAAGGAGGAGAAGAAAGGGAATGAAATCATGTCAGTTGCAGGAAAATGATGGAATTGAAGATCATCATGTTAAGCAAAATAAGCCCACTCAGAAAGAAAAGTACTGTATGTTTTCTCTCACGTGTGGACTCTAGGAAATATGAGAGGGACTACTAGGGATGGGAAACCAGGGTGGATTAAAAGAGGTAATAAGGAAAATGAATATGATCAAAGCATGTTATATGCATGTATGAAATGTCATAATGAAACCCATTATTTTGTACAATATGTGTTAATAATTATACTAGAAAAAGAAATCATTATTGAGGAAAAATAAAACTTTAATAAATTTACTGGTATTAAAGTTTTTCAAGCCGGCCGGGGGGTGCACACCTGTAATCCCAGCACTGGAGAGGCTGAGGCAGGAGGATCATTGCAAGTTTGAGGCCAGCCTGGACTACAAAGTGAGCTCAAGGCCAGCCTGAACTGCACAGAGAGACCCTGTCTCAAAAAGACTAAATAAATAAATAAATAAAGTTTTTTGAAACAATCAGTTCGTTAGACTGAAATGATTAAAAAGTTTTGAAAGGAAATTTAAGCACTTTAACTTTCTCTTTTCTCCACACCTATCCTCTTATTGTTTACTTAGTTGATTTCCATCCAGATTACATCTGCTACTATGTTCATACTTAAATTTGCATCGCTTTTAAGAAAACTTTTCCCACTTCAAAATTTATAGAATTCCCAACAAACCATGTGGTATTGTCAACCACTGAGCTTTATGGACATTGTTGGAAATAACTGTTTAGATTTACATTCAGTATCGTCAGATTTACAACTTTAATTAAAGGTATCTCTATTTTATCTGATTTCTTTTTTTTGGTTTTGGTTTTTGTCCGGTACCAGGAACCAAACTCACGACCTTGCGCTTGCCAGGCAGGCGCTTTGCCGCTGAGCTAAATCCCCAGCCCCCTATTTTATCTGATTTCATTGCTCACCACCAGTTCCATCGTATTTTGATACGGTTATTCTTCTTGTTTTCATGAATCTGTCAATCTTTGTAGTTCTACAGACTCTGTATTTACAGCACACAATAGTAGGGAAATAAAAAATCAGGCAGACTTTACTTGTATAGTAACCTGCACATTCTTGCACTAACTTTGCCTACATTAGAGTAGCCTTTTCTAACAAAACTGTAGGACTGGCATGTAAAGTAGCTCGGAATTCCCATTATGCACTTCCGTTACAGCTACCGCTCTCTCAGTCCAGCTTTGAGCCCCTCCTTTTCCGGAGAATTGGAGTTTTCACCTGCGATCCAGAAAACCGCGGGAGGGCTGGGCTTGGGATCCAAGCCAGCCCCATCCACATTATGACAAAAGTAGACTTTTAGACTCTGACCTTAGGCTTCCTTTCGCGGTACCTCAGCCAACGTGCAAAGAACTATGGGCGGTCCTAGAACGCATCTCGCCCAGCCCTCTCCTCTGCCCCGGATTCCCTGCGCAGGCCCCGCCCCCAAGGCGTGGCCCCGCCCACGGCCCAGCGGTAACCCGGGAAACCAGAGTTGATCGCCGGCGGGCTAGAAGCAGGTTTCATGGCAGCCGCGAAGAAAGCAGTTGTGGGCCCGTTGGTGGGGGCAGTGGACCAGGGTACCAGCTCGACGCGCTTTTTAGTTTTCAATTCAAAAACAGCTGAACTGCTTAGTCATCATCAAGTGGAGATAAAACAGCAGTTCCCAAAAGAAGGGTGGGTGGAACAAGACCCTAAGGAAATTCTGCAGTCTGTCCTTGACTGCATAGAGAAAACCTGTGAAAAACTTGGACAGCTCAATATTGATATTTCCAACATAAAAGCTATTGGTATCACCAACCAGAGAGAAACCACCGTCATCTGGGACAAGTTAACTGGTGAGCCTCTCTGTAATGCTGTCCTGTGGCTTGATCTCAGAACCCAGTCCACTGTGGAGAAACTGAGTAAACTCATTCCAGGAAACAAGAACTTTGTCAAGTCCAAGACGGGCCTTCCCCTTAGCACTTACTTCAGTGCAGTGAAACTACGTTGGCTCTTTGACAACGTGAGAAACGTTCAGAAGGCTATTGAAGGACATAGAGCTCTTTTTGGGACCATTGATTCGTGGCTTATTTGGAGTTTGACCGGAGGAACCAACGGAGGTGTCCACTGTACCGACGTCACAAACGCCAGCAGGACAATGCTTTTCAACATTCATTCTTTGGAATGGGATGAAGAGCTCTGCGACTTTTTTGGAATTCCAATGGAAATTCTTCCCAGTGTGCGGAGTTCTTCTGAGATCTATGGCCTGATGAAATCTGGGGTCTTAGAAGGTGTGCCAATATCTGGGTGTTTGGGAGATCAGTCTGCTGCTTTGGTGGGACAAATGTGCTTCCGGGATGGACAAGCCAAAAATACATACGGAACAGGGTGCTTTTTACTATGTAACACAGGCCAGAAGTGTGTATTTTCTGAACATGGCCTTCTGACCACAATAGCTTACAAACTTGGAAGAGACAAACCAGTGTGTTATGCACTGGAAGGTTCTATAGCTATAGCCGGTGCTGTTATTCGCTGGCTAAGAGACAATCTTGGAATTATTAAGACCTCAGAGGAAATTGAAAAACTTGCTAAAGAAGCAGGTACTTCATATGACTGCTATTTTGTCCCAGCATTTTCAGGGCTGTATGCACCTTATTGGAAACCCAGTGCAAGAGGGATAATCTGCGGACTTACTCAGTTCACCAACAAATGCCACATCGGTTTTGCTGCGTTAGAAGCTGTTTGTTTCCAAACCCGAGAAATTTTGGATGCCATGAACCGTGACTGTGGAATTCCCCTCAGTCATTTGCAGGTAGATGGGGGAATGACCAACAACAAAGTTCTTATGCAGCTACAAGCAGACATTCTGTGTATTCCAGTATTGAAGCCCACCATGCCAGAAACAACTGCCCTGGGTGCTGCTATGGCAGCAGGAGCCGCAGAAGGAGTTGGTGTTTGGAGTCTCAAACCAGACGATTTATCAGCTGTCACAATGGAGCGGTTTGAACCTAAGATCAATCCTGAAGAAAGTGAAATTCGCTATTCTACATGGAAGAAAGCCGTGGTGAGGTCAATGGACTGGGTTACAACAGAGTCTGCAGAAAGTGGTGACCCTTGTATCTTCTGTAGTATGACTCTGGGCTTTTTTATAGTAAGTAGCATGGTAATGTTAATCGGAGCACGGCACATCTCAAATCTCCCATAAATGATGCCAACTGATGGATTTCCAAGATAAGAACTTTTTATGCAAGGAGAGAATCCAGCAATTATGACTCAATATGATGACACAACCCATAGACTCTGATTTCACTTACATGCCACTTTGCTGCATCATCCACCTAGTAGACTTAAGGCTTGAAATAAAGAAAATGCAGCAGAAAAAACACTCTAAGGATTGCTGTGTGGTCACTGTTCAATCAGACATCTTTTGGCACTATTAGTTTGTTTTTTTTTTTTTTTTAAGTCTATTTTTTAGAACTGTTTTAGTTTGGCAACAAACCTGAGTAGAAATGACAGAGGTTCCATATACATCCTGTCCCCTCCCCAAACACATTGGTTGGCCAGTAATAACACCCTGCCCCAGAGTGGTACATTAGCTGCATTGAGGGAATCTACACTGACTCATCAATGCTACCCAAAGTACAAAGTTTACATTAGAGTTCACTCTGAATGTTGAAGATTTTACAGATTTTAACAAACATATAATGCCTTGTATACACCGTTATAGTGTAAAACAGGCTGGTTTCACTGTCCTAAAATCCTTATCCCTACTTCCCTCCAGCTTCTGCCAACTACTGATCCCACTGTCTCCATATTTTGCCATTTCCAGAATGTGATACTGTTGGAATCATACAGTATGTACCATTTTCACAATGGTTTCTTGGACTTAGTAATAAACATTGAAGTTTCCCCCATTTATTATGAATTTTTAGTGCAGAATAATATTCCATTGTGTCAATGTATCACAGTTAATTTATCTATCGACTAACAGAGACATCTCGGTTGCTTCCAAGTTTTGGCAATAATTTCTGTAGCCACTAAAAACATCTGCATAAAGACTTTTGTGTTGACCTAAGATTTCAACTCTGTTGGATAAGTATCCAGACTATAATTGCTGGATCACAGTAAGAGTATGTTTAGCTTTGTTAGAAATCGCCAAACTGTCTTCCAATGTGCCTGTGCTATTTTGCATCCTCACCAGCAGTAAGTAACAGACACTTGCTCTTGCTGCATAGCCTCAGCAGTACTTGATATTTTCAGTGTTCTGAATTTTGGCCATTTTAATAGTTGTGTAGTGGTCTCTTGTTTTATTTTGTTTCCCTGATGATATAAGCAATCAATCATCCTTTCATATGCTTTTCCATCTGTATATGAGGTGTCTCTTTGGATCTCTTGCCCATTTTTAAATCGGGATTATTCATTTTCTTATTGTTGCATTTGAAGGTTCTTTAAGGAAACTCTTTGCTTCTGATCATTTTCTAAAGTCTGCCCTTTTGAAAGTAATGTAACTATTTCTCACTTCTTTTTGGTTTAGTATTAGTGTGGGATATCTCATGATACTTTTAATTTAATCTATTTGTGTGTATATTTAAAGTGTGTTTCTTGTAGACAACATATTTTGGATCACGTTTTTAATGCTGACAATCTCTGTTTTTTAACTAGTATTTTAGGCCAATTATATCTTAAGTGATTATTGACATAATTTGATTAATATGTACTATCTTTGTTACTGTTTCCAATTTGTTACCCTTGTTCTTTGTTCTTATCTTTCTCTTCTACTTTTTTTCTGCTTTTTGTGGTTTTAACTGAGCATTTTGTATAATTTTGTTTCTTTCTCAGGATATTAATTATACATTTTTAAACTTTTTTGATGGCTGCATTAGATTTTACAATGTATTTACAATTAATCTATGTCCATTTTTCAGTAACACTATACCACTTGATGGGTAGTACAACATTCCTAATTCCTCCCTCCCATCCCTTGAATAATAAATGTCACTCCTGTCAAATATTCATAAACTATAACCATCAAATACATAGTTGCTGTTATTATTTTGTGCAAACTGTTAAATATTAGCTCAAGAATTTAAAAAATGAAAACTTTTTTTACTGTTGCTTATTCCTTACTAGTGTTCTTACTTTATGTAGAGCTGAGTTGCTGCCCTATATCATTTCCCTTCTCTCTGAAGAACTTCTTTGAACATACCTTTCAAAGCAGTTGTACTAGTAACGCATCCCCTCAATTTGTATGTATCTGAGAAAGTACTTCACTCTTGAAGGATAATTTCTGCGTACAGAATCCTAGGCTGGTGTTTTTTATTCTCTCAACACTTTATTTTGTTGTACTCTTTTTTGGGGTGCATTTTTTGTTTCTGAAAGAGAATTTTGTGTAACTATGTTTTTTCCCATATGGCTTTTTAAAAAGATTTTTCTTTGTCTTTTTCTCCTGCACTTTAAGCATGACATATCTAGGTGTTATTTTCATTGCTTTTATATATATATATATATATATATATATATATAGTTTTTGTAGCTGTCATTTGGATTATAAGATGAATATCTCTGTAAGAGTTTGGACTTGATCTAGTAGTGTATATCCATTTTTATATAGT